AAAAAATATCACATTAGAAAATGCGTTTTTTTTAGTGTTTCTGGATGACTTATCTGAGAACTTTGGGAATTAAAACCAACTCCAGTCGACTTGAATGCGCGATTATAAAATGCGCAATTTTACATTATTTGTGCGAATATGCTAAGACTGACTCGCGTATAAAAAAAACGTGAAATTGTAATAATTCACAAAATGCATGAACATCATTGAGACACAGATACAAATACACATACACATGCATGAATAAAGGTGTTTTCCAGTGTATATTTTTAACATTCGGTTACTGACTCTAACCTGATGATGCGATCCAAAACCGAGCGTAACTACACATGTATATTTTGATGGTGATACATAGACCTAATTTTCTGCATGTCATCTGTATTTCTCCATCATATTTACAGGTCTGTTTGTATTTCTCTCACTCCACTTATTGATTTATCAACCTAATCTCCATTCACCCCACGTTGGAAATCCTATTAGTTGTCCACCAATTTTTTTTTATTTATCAGTGTCATTTGTTTCTCTCTTGGTCATTTTAAAGCATATAAATATAAGCAAGCGCTGTCCGTTATTTCCGCCGTTGACACGAGACAGTAAAGGCTCACCATGTCAACAGTCTGTATCCTCTCCTTGTCTTTTTGAGTCGCGTTTTGGGTGTATAGTATCACGATGTCACTGTTTATTTTATTTATTTATTATTTTGATTACAGCTTGATGCCACACCGTATTTTCATTACAAGTATGGAATTTTCAGCATGGATATCGGTAGCCCAAATTTACAGGCCAACCATAGATATCGGGTGTGCGTCAGCAGGGGATCGAACCCCGGACCATGTGCATGGTCGGCGAGAGTCCTAACCACTGTGCTAACATTGGTTAAAAGAATTAAGCTTGCAAATCGACTAGGTAGGAAATTCGTTAGCGCAACTACAAAGTGTATTAACGGTCATATGAAAATTGTCGTTGGGTCATATCACGTAGTATATGACAGTCAATTGTACATGATATCAGGGAACCTACTGAAATGGAGATGTGATACTGATGACTTATGTTTTGCTCAGAATGCAAGTAACGATTATATATATATATATATGGATTTTTATGACGTAAGCAAACGTTCACCGATTGGGTAATGGATAATCAATATAATCAACTTGACAGAACTGTAGTTATGTGCTGAACCAAACATAAATTCACTGATTTAATCAAAATGACAATTCTCATATGCACAAAATGAAAACATGCGTGTGAATATATATATATATATATATGGGCATGTACCTTTAGATCACTGTCATCTAGATTCAAAGAAATACTAAACTGGTATGCACAAGCAATTAAGTCGAGTAACTGAAAGTTATTAGTTTAAGCCGATTCACTTAGGTAATGACTGCGCCAACAAACATATTAGAACATACTGACACTAAAGTAACTCTGATAATAATAATAATAATAATGGTCGTAAAAGTAGTACTAATAATAATAATGACATAAAACTGAAAAAAAGAATCAACATAACATTTATTCTAACTAACTTATACAAACAAAAATTAAATATTTAATTACTTTAATTTGGAATTGAATAATGACAGCGGTGTCTTGCACACACACACAGACACATTCAACCATATACAAACAAAAATACCTAAACAGATTTTGGAATCTCTTTAAATGATTTTGCATGAATTATCTACTCTGGCTTTTAGGTATAGCTGATAGCTGATAGCCTGATTGACAGAAAACAGTGAATAGTAATAATAATAATAATAATAGAATTTATCATCACTTATTAAACTTTTCAAATGTCTTTTTTTGAATCAAAACAATTGATGAACGTCATGTATGCTGAGCATTTTACTGCTAATTCAGTGACAAGTCGAAATTAAAATAAGACGGTTAAAGAGAACAGACTTTCTGTTTAAGCTGATATTAATAAATCAAAGCACTATTGACGTAGCAGTTAACAAAATAAAACGCACTACAGTTTATTTTCTGTCTAGTTTGTTACTCTTGCTTTTGTGCTCAACAATGAAAATATACAGCCTACAGTAAGGATGGCTCAAGTCTTCTTGAGATCATGAGTGTACGTGTTTACAGAGTTATTAAACTGTGTTGATTCACTAATTCACTTAATGTACTGTTTAAATGTTCACTACTGTTTGTGTTTACAATTGTTGTATGAAGATAATAAAATGCGAATTTCTAAATTCCTGTCCTCTCCATATTGTTGTAGCTCGATTTACTGGTATTCGATCATTTCGGATAATGACTATAAGTAAGTATTAGACAGACAGTTTGTGTTATCAGTCTCCTCCCGTAATTAGATGCATCTACAGTGAAATCTACCATGCAGGCATCTATAGATGCAATATTTATGACAAAATATGTCGAAGCATTTATAATGAATGGGTAGGTAGGGAAATATGTATATAGAAACTGAGTTGAAGCAAACGAAGTCTTACGGATCCCACAACGTATAAAGACCATTGTTTCCAAGATATTCAAATAGTTACAGAGGCATATAGTAAGCAACATGACACCACTTTCTTCTGAATTCACAGCGGATACACCTACCAAGAGAATCATCATTCTGTGGCACTACAGCAACCAGGATTTAAAGTAGATTAACTTCCAGTAATAGTAAACAGTATATGATTTGTAATTGAAAAGCTCAGACGTGGTCAAATATATACTCAAATAATTTTATCATCTTGATTGTTCCTTCAGTTAACATGTCACAGTTGTATGCTGTCCCTGACTATCACTTTCATTTGGCTTCATGACTGACCATAAGATTTCACCTCCTACTAACAAAACCTTTCATATGTTACCCTCAGACGCCCAAATGATCGTTTCTAGTACAGGTACCATTCCGGGGCGTGGCTCGTGATGGTCTCTTTGACATGTGTCTAATCAAACTGTATTTCCATTGGAATATTCGTTGGGTAATAGGTTCTTGATTGGTTTGTTGAAGGACAGAGTTCACTATTGCTAATCCTTTCTAATTGGTTATCGGATCTTCATTATTGAGTTAAAGAAGCTGTTGGTGATATTCTGAAGCCTGCTGCAAATGATTTTGCTAACGCGCCAACTGTCTGAACCATACAGAGTCAGTGATATGATATTAGCGTTAAAAGTTTGTACCTTATTCCTTCTGCTAAGTGTTGCAGGTCTCCACACCAATTTCATAATAATTAATGCCTATTTTACATTACCAGTCCGTTTCTGACTGGCTTTAACATCCGCATGCGTGCCAACTGTCTGTAGTTGAAACGATACTACCCAGGTGAAAGAGTTCTCCCACTGACGGTGATTGGTGTCAGTTGTTGTTGGTTGGATACCTACATCACTCCTCTGTTCCCTATGTTCGCATGAAGTCCTGTGTTCGATACCTATTCTGCTAAGTGGTTGGTTCTCGCCAGCATATCTTCAAGTTTTTAAGACACGAGATATTAATCCCCCACAAACTTCAGATCCGTTGGGGTCCTTTCGTCAGTGCAGTGTCTGTCTGTCTTCTCACTTTCCATGGTGTGCTGCGTGATCTAGTCCATGCAACCAAGAAGACCATACGTGATAGCAGGATTATATATATGTATATACTACTGACGGTCTGATTAGGTTGAAGTCACTTTCTCTAAACGAATATGCATGCTGGCTAGATTTAGCCGATCTAAAAATTCTTCTGTCACCTGCACAGTAAAATGATAGTTCCATATACAGTGATGGTTCCACGGAAGGATTCTGTCCAGACACACACACATGGTTAAGGTTTGACTGTCCGCAGACGCGTTGTTAAACCATGCTTAATTTACAAGTCGATAAAAGTTAGAAAGAAAATGTGTAGAGTAATTAGTGATAAGAAACTTTTGGTATATGGATATGTGGTAATAATACAAACTTCACTTTTGATTTTATGCATTCAGGGATTGTCCAGAGCATTGGTTAAATCCTCGACTCAAGAGAAACTTAATTATCGTTCGCCATCATTAACACTGTCACATATAAACTACAGTAAAAACATATCCGCTCATATTTATCATTTTGAAAATTCTGCACATTTTATCAACCTTTTAAGTTTTTGTATTGCTTCAACCTTCTGGGTGAAAGATAAGACTTCTAGCTCTTTGAAATTTTAAAAACGGGTGATTTGTTTCTAAAGGGTAGGGTTGCAGGCCTTATTCCCAGAATTTCTTCTTTTTATGCTAACTACTGACTAAGCGAAGTTTAGAAGTGCATCTACCGGGAATCGAAACCAGACCTCCCAATTGGCTGACGAGCATTCCAACATTGAGCCAGTGATATACCAGATTTTTTAGCAGTACTTGGTGTCAGTTCATTGTCCCTTGAATGACATGTCGAGAATGCTTCCCCTGAGCGACTCAGCTTTTTAATTAGTAATCAAAAATCATATTTTTTTCAGTTCCATTTTAAGCAGTGATAGCTGAGGTTATGAAAGTTTTCTTCTTGATACTCAGTCAGTGTCTAGATCACAAAAACGTGACAGCTTCACTATACTTCAGGAAAAGACTAAACTGTACTCATGGGAATTTGACTGTTTGGCTCATTAATAACTACGACAGTTATAAACACCTTTCAGCTCACTCCACCTATATCTGTGATACTATTACTATTCTCTAAGCATGTGTTAAACATAAAAATGTGTGACTGATTCAGTAATCCAGCAAAGAGACAATTATTCTGAATACCTTTGAAACTCTGCCAGTGCATTGGTCGATATCGCCATGAAAAATAACAAGTAAGAAAGCCAAAAATTTCATATTTATATTTTCTCCTTTACAACACCTCAATTCTGAATAAAATATAAAACTGTATGTAGAAAACTATATAAAGAAATTGAATAATACTCACATCAGTTGTTTGTTGTTGTTGTTTTTTTTTGATTGCTCAAATAGAAGTATTATTTATTTGTATAAAACCACAGTCATACAATTTTTGTTAAAGTACTTTTCCACTACATCTTTTTCCCCTTACTTTTCCCTCTATTGATTAGTGAATGCTGTATTATCATATGTTGTCGGAGGTGGTCGAGCTTTACTATTTACTTGTGGATTTGGATTTGTCTGCTCCTGAAGATAAGCACCGTTGACTCGATACAAAGCGAATAAGAAGAAGGCATCTACTCCGTAAATAAGAAAGTTGATAGCGAAAAACACCTAAAATAAGATAAGAGAACAAAATATAAAGATTATGTACATAATGGAAATGATAGTTTGACACTTTTATTCATGCAGAAGAGCTTATGAAATACTCATATGATATGTTGAAAGCAAAGTGAGTTTGAAAACCAATGCTTTTAAATGATGACACACACACTTTTACTTCAGATATTTGCGTCTTATACTTTCTTTTATATAACTGTAAAGACTGATGATAATTTACTGAAAATGTATATTTATCTGATTAAATGCAGTTCTAAAATTATCTTGATGGGAATTTTCAAGTTTACTTTGAGAAGATAAAATTGATGCAATGAATGAAAACTGAAAATAGAATGAAATTTCGGTTCACTGAACTTGTAGGACGCCGGTTCATTACTTCAAATAGAGGCATCAAATTTGAGACTTATACCAATTGATTTGTGGGGAACTGGTTAATTGTTAAGAAGATTTCATCACTGATGGAGTCGAGAAAGTGCACTAATGAAGGGTATCAGACTAGAAGATAACAGTTGTCCAGTTTTCCCTAGTTTTCAACAGTTCTCTAACTGCTATCGATTAGTGATGACATCTACCATGAAATCCGATTCTACTTCTTTATTTCGCTTTCTGTCACTACCCAATATATATTAATTTCAAGCTATCAATTAGTGACTATCACAAACACCGTTAACAAGCTATCAAATTAAGTGGTGAAAAAAGGCAAACCTACAAAAGTAAAATGAAGTCCGAATGAATTTCAACACTTTCAGGCGTTAATTACAGCCCATAAATAAATTCATGCAAAGAAAAGGTGTATTTTGTAAAGTGAATTTACTGAAATAGCAAGAAGAAGAAGAAGAACAAGAAAAAGTTGTACACTATTTTCAGTAAGTGGAAATGACAAACAAAATAACGAAACAATGAAATATTCGGTATATCTTCCATTGATTAAAACAAATCAAAACAGGCTAAACCGTTCACACCTTTCTCTTATTAGTGACATATTAGTAGACGTCAAATAAACAAATTATTGAGACTTCATTATTTTGTGTGTCTTTCATTCGAGCTAATATTAATTGAGTAAATAGTTATGAAAAGACTAACTAGTGAAATGAAGTGTTAGTATACACATTATCACAAGGGTTTCTTTGTTTAAACACAATACAGATATGAAGATATTGACTAAAAAAATGTGAGTAAATGTGGTACATCTTATCGTGTTAATATAGTACCAAGTTTCTTGTAAACAATAAATAAAATTGTGTAACATAGTGAAATGACGAGATGATTATATAACTGAAAGTCAGACCTGCATCAAAATGCAACTAGAAGCAGTAAACTCCGGATTAACTGTCAAAGAATTCACTAACTGAACTACCCAGTCAAGGCATTAATAATTCCACTATAATCACTGGGGCTTTACCATATACTCATCAGGTAAATGAGTATGTTAATCTTTGTAAATCATCACATGCTAACTGCACATAAACAAGTTTCTAAGGTAGTTTGATTGGCAGTAATCGAAAACAAGTTTCGCATATATATGTTATAAATTTTGCAGAAATAAACTGAAAGGTGATTCCAAGATTTGAAGAGGGATGATTTTCGAATTTATCAGACAAAAACCTATGCTTTCCTAATTCTAAGCTCGTTTCTTCTCGATGAATCATTAAATTGGAAGGTAGAAAAAAAATCTATGAATAGTAACAGAAGATGGAGACAGTTTTGAGAAGTTGGTGTATGCATAATTATTCAAAGTACTATTCTTATCATTCAATACACGGTTTACTCACATTAATCTTTGTTTATTTTTCACTTATCTCACAGGTACTCTTCCAGGTATGGCAAAATAACAGTTAGTGTTCATTTGCAAGCATTCTACGAATACTTTCTATGCATCAAGAAAAATATACAATTACAACTTATAACAGTCTATCTCATAGCAGAACTTACACAAAACTCCCCTTCAAAATGCATATTTCCTTTTATAAACTAGAGTTATTCAGACTGTAATATATATATATATATAATATCTTGACTTCACACAGTATTTTTGATACAAGTATGGAATTTTCAGCATGTGATATCGTAGCCCAAATTTAGCAGGCCAACCATTGATATCAGGTGTGCGTCGGCCAATGATAGAACCCCGGACCATGTGCATGGTTGGCGAGCGTCCTAATCCCTGTGGCACCGACGCATAGTACACCATCAACCGTGTCAAGACTGAAAACATTAAAGCTGTAGTGTGTATGTGTAAACTACTGATTAGTATGAACTGTTTCAAACTAATCAGGTCAATGCATTGTTCTCACTAGTTCGACTATAATTACTTAAGCATAAACGTTAGTTACAAACATTTAGTATCCAGTTCACTCGTGGTGTTTTCTGGTAGACTTTCCCCCACTGACTGTGAAATTTACAAATATTTGGTTTTAGCGCTGTATTTACCACTTCACATAGTTTTCTGGCTGGAACTGAAGCGATTTTAGATAATTTCAGTTTTCCGACTCGAATAGACAGCAAGACATTGTTAATGACCTTGATTCCAAATGTCAATTACAGCTAACCTACATTTAGGTTACCTTAGCTTAATTATCGAGTACTGTTCATGGACGTAGCTGATTTTCAACTGTTCACGCAAATCTCTGGTGTGTATCAAATCAAAACCCATTAGGCAGTGGTTGACGGGCTGCTTAGATAACTGAGCAACCAGAATTTTCATCTGTCAAAATGCTGAAACACTTTCGCATTTTCAGAAGAATGGATACTGAACAAAGAGAACTCTTTCCGATAAATTCATCATCAGGCTCTACAATTATGTATATATTATAGTGAATGAATTAGTGTTATGAACGACGTTGATGTTTAAATAACATCGAATCAATAATATTGGTAGATTACAGCTGAATAGCATCAACATAAAATATGCTGAATGTCAGAAAAATTATGAAAGGTAATATTACAAATTCATGAGTTTATAGTTTCTACTGAGAGCCAGGGCAGTAGTAGGGGCTGGACTTGTTTCTTTTGAACACAGAGCACTAGTTGTTTGAGGCGAATTGCAATAGCCTCTGCTGTTTGGAGCATGCGGTACTTCGATGATCTTGGTAATTTTTTAGGCACCCGGTATATCATAGAGAAGGATTCTTCTACGCTGGCTTTGTGACCGGTTTGCACCAGATGGTCTAATATCGAGCTATTAATAGTTTTAACTACACCTTAACTTAGCCATATTGGGATATGTTCTCGAGCACGAAAAATCAAGTTCCTGGAGGAACGGCCAATGTAACTCGCTCCACAAGCGCAGTTGAACTGATAGATACAATTTGAAGTGGCTAGTCTAGGTACTTCATCTTTCCGCATTTCTTATTGCTTAAATCAAGCCATTGCATCAAATGATCACAACATGAACTCGACAGCATATTTAATTAGCTTCTAACTATATGTTGTGTAATTCTTGAAGGAAATGAAGAAACAGTTTACAGTATTAGTTCTCTCTTCCTATGCAACAACACTACGTCACGTGATATACTTCAGATTATTATTTCATGTATAAATTCTGATTGAAGGAAAAATCGGTGTACTATGTGTTCACATATTCTCTGAAAGAAGGCATTATTATAATTTTTCCATATGCTGGGAATAAATTGGGAATAATTGTTTTTAAATTTCCAATCTTCGTTAGCATTAAACTTATTCGGTCACACAAGGGATATGTCTTGCTAATTTGACCTTTACTACTCACCTAACTGTTGTCTTACTGATCCATTAGATATTAGATTCCTAATCAATCATTTGCATATCAGCATATGCTTGTTGTGAAGGTCATATGATATACTCTACGACCAAAGAAAAATAAATTTTCTTATCAATAATTTTGTTAAGGCTGTCATAATTGTTGCTTGTGTATTGACATATTTAGCAACTCAGAAATGATACATGCTAGTGGCTACGCAGATGAAAGAATAAATATAATAATAATGATAGAAATAATAACAATAATAATACTATTCAGAAAGGAGTATGAGAAAACAAAGAACTCAAACTAGTCATGACACGACTTAACAAAACACGACAGACTTAAAATATTGTTTTGAAGTCAGTTGGGTGTAATTGTGAAACCATGAAACAAAGACTTTATTCTTTTTACATTTGCGCTGCATATATATATACATATAAGTGAGTCAAAGTAGTAAATACCTTTTCAAATCTGTATGCAATTCAAAAACCACTTCATCATTAATAATACAGTCAAATGGAAACAATAGGAATGTATCACAGTGTAGTTTAAATGTATAAACTTGACTTCCTGATAGACTGGTTACAGTTTAATTCATCAAGTGTCTTCATAAAAATGGATGGAAGATTGAGCTGAATGCTGAAAACAGATTCCTACTCGCTTGCACTATAGTAACAGGCTTGTTGTGATAAGTGAGCGTTGTTGAATGGACTTTAATCAGAGGCTTCAGTTCACACCAGTAGGGCATTTCACTGCAGGATGATATAAATATCTATATTTCTCAGTGCCTTTTAGTTTTCAGTATTCACCGAACCGATTTCATTGTAGGATATAAGGTACTCCCACTAAAAAAACAATCGAATAATAGTTAATATGAAACAGAAATTATGTTTGATCCCAAAACAGTCTAATCTTAATTCAGTGTGATTCCCGTACCCTCCTTTTCCTCACCCAGTGCAACGAATCAATACAGTCTCAAAGCTATAACAAGGATAATCATTTCGGCCCCGCGAACTGAACAACAGACAAAAAACGCATACATATGAAAAGATACAATTGATCGCAGTTGTTACTTGATTTGTTACTGAACACGGTGTTCATTTTTACTGAGATGAATGCGACTAAATAACAAGTACATTCGGGGTTTTATGTATACCAGATGTTAATGAATTAGTTAAATAAATGACTTGAATAAGATTATAAATTTAACGAACAGATGAGCTTTAATTATACATGTAACAGGACACTCATACAATCACATAATGATAAAAAA